CTGCAAATAAGCAGAGTGTGCCGCCGTGTTTGTGTTTTGACCTGTGGGGTTGTTGAGAACAGACGTGTTACAGTATGCCTAAAGGGTCGGGATGCATGGGGTTACCACGTGGAACTGGCTACTGATATTAGCATTGACAGTATAATGGGACAAAGTGCTAGCTGGCTTTCTGCCTCTGGCATCTAATGGTTACAGCACTGAAGTATACGGGGGCCACATGGAGGGAGAGCGAGTGCTTACAGCTGATGAATAGAGACAGTGCGTGTGTGTGTGTGTGTGTGTGTGTGTGTGTGTGTGTGTGTGTGTGTGTGTGTGGGGTGATTCGCTCTACAGGCTAGATTATCATCTGTTCGGTGGAATCTGATACGGAGGGGAAGCCGGCATCAAAGGCAACTGTCAACGCCTCATCAAGGAACCTGCTTCTGTCAGCCTCCCTCTTTCTATTTCGCTCTTCCTCGCTTGCTCACACTCATACACATACTATAGACATACACACACACACACACACAAGCGCACACACTTTTATATTCTCAGCCACACATTTACATACTGTACGCACTCTTGCTCTCTTTAGAACTCTGCCTCTTTCTAACAAGCACACAAACACAAATTAAAGTTCACGTTAAAAAACACACGCACTGTCAGCCACCCACACGCAGGGAGCCAGGCCCAGGGGCAGGGGAACTCGGTGTGAACCCTCGGGAGAAAGATATCACGATGAGAGACAGACCAAATGGAAATGAATGCAGTTTTTCTGCACCGCAGATCAGAAAACAAGACACTTCTGCGCACACTGAGAGACTACATGCTGCTGTTTATTTTGCGTTTGAGAATGTAATTATTTGTCTGCCATTGCTGCTGTTGGTGTTATTAATGAGTTACACTCTCAGTTGGAAACGGTTCAATATGATTTTTCATGGGGGTAAATGTGGAATGAGCACTGAGAAAGTCAGATAAAAGCTGTTGTTCTGTTCAGATGTGCAAATAGAGGCATATCCGTGCTGCACTTTAGGTTTGTAGCAGGTTTTTGAATTGTGTTGGACCAGCAATCCACATGAAAGGAGGAGAATATTTCACAATCGCAGTTTTTATACTGAACACTGGAGCTGCAGAGATTTCCTACAGTGTACATTTTTCACTCAGGTCCAAACTGAGACCTTGTACTCGAGTCCACGTGCCCTAGGTGGTGTGCGGTTAGAGTTTAACTATGGTGTGGTTGGCCTGCAGTCAGAACGTTTTGTCTTTACTCCTAATGAAGGAAAATCCTTGTGTTCAATCTATAGCAACATCATTAGTCGCATTCTTACATTGTTAGCAGAGAAGCAGGCACAAACAGAAGAACTCACAGATTAATGTGTAACATTTAAGCCCAACTAAATGTCCTATGATAATTGTTGCGTATCGATTCATCAGTTAATCGATTGACAGAAAATTAATCTAAACTTTTTAGCCACTGATTAACTGACATTTATTGAGCAAATAAAATTGTTCCTGCTTCTAAAAAGCAATATAGAAAACCTTAATAAGACATTTGTCACTATTTTCAGACAATTTCGGGACTAAACAATTGATTGTTTAATGGAAGAATTCATCAATAATGATCGTTGCAGCCCTAATGTTAACTTTTTTCATATAGAGCGCTCATTTAAAAATAAGAATGTTTGTGGCTTGTACGTGTGGCTGTGCTCCCTTCAGCTGGGTTCATATGGCCCCGTCCACCTGTTGATTGTAACACTGTCATTTTACCAATGAAGGTCAAACAGGTGCCGACGTGGTTTGCAGCTGCTCTTTGATGAGAAAAGCATTACACAAACTAACTGCAGGTCAGAACAGCAGACAAAGTCTTAAGCAAACAAGCTTATCAAAGTGTTATGGGGGGGCACTCAAACTGACAGGGTTCTGACTCAAACAAACCCGGTGTGGACAAAACAGTCCCATTCCCTTTGAGCCTGTCTCCTCTGCTGTGATGCTGACCCTCTCGTGTCTTATAACACTTTTTTTTTGTGCAAATTCAAAATCTGTGTATCTGTTTTAGATTTCAGTGGGTGGGAGGCAAAATATGTTTATATAAGAGTTATTATTGAGTTAAAAATAATAGATGCTTAGTGTGTGAACTGTTGCGTAGCTGTACATACGTGGTAAAGAGTTGTCAAACAGGTTCAAGTAGTCTTCAGTTCTTCTGTATGGCCCATACAGATTTAGTAGGATGGTATAGAAGGTAATTCTTTTCTGTTGGTGTATTACTCAGTCTTTCATATTGGAGACATTTGGGAATATACGGCTTAGTTGGCTGACAAAATGTTCAATTCCCATCAAAAAAGGGTCTTCTGTTTGTGTGTGATAAAATGCGGACCCACTTCAATCTCACCATGAAACACAGTTTCAGTTTGTGCTCGCTCCAAAATAAGATGCTCTGTCTGCGCTCTGATACGTCTAGATATACGGCTGGATTAGGTGTGCAGTGATGATAGTCAACCAGAAAATGCCGCTCGGTATAGCCGAGCGTTTTCTTGCCTCATCTGGACTGTGATAAGAGCCACCATCCATGAGATGATGATACCGCAGTTGTATTAATTTCAGCTCCGCTCCTTCGACTTTTATGTTTGAGATTCAGGCACCAAAAACTCCTTTTCTGCCAAAAGATTGTCTGCATCTGGTGCCGCCAGCTACTCTGCAGTTTCAACACCAGTTTGATCATCTGTTGTGAATTTGAAATGCTCCTCACTTAAAATGTTCACCTTGAGGGCTTCTGCCAAGCCACCGGTCACGACGCCTCTCCCTGCTCCGCCTCACTTGGTGTGAGTGTGAGTGTGAGTGTGAGTGTGTGTGTGTGTGTGCGTGTGTGCGTGCATCTGCCTGGTGGGGGTGTGTGAGTCTGTATACTGTACGTGCGAGTTAATGTGTGCACCAAGCGGACATTAACATCCTCTCAATGTCAATGACTCCTCCTAGTAGGGAAAGTCAGTGAGCCACTGATGGACTCACAATAACTGTCCCTGCAAGGCAGTACTGTGTGTGTGTGTGTGTGTGTGTGTGTGTGTGTGTGTGTGTGTGTGTGCGTGTGCGTGTGCGTGCCTGAGACAAGGTGACACAGGAAACAGTCCTCTGCTGATGACTGATGGCCAGACCCAGCTGTTCTGACCTCACTTATGTTCGGTCCCTCCTGTAGAGGTGATGATCATGTGCCGAAAACAGTCCAGACACACAATGCGAGGATGGTCACTGCCCAAATCTGAATGACCCTTTTAAAAACCAAATTCTTCACTTTAGAGGTTTTTGTGTAAACACATCCTGCTGAATGTAGACCAACACTTTGCTGTGACTCAAATGAATGGAGGCAAGGCTTAGGCTTATGCAGTATCTCTCCTTTTGTGTCAAAACACACACAGTTCCGAGTAATTGCCCTACGTGCCTCCACCTGTGTTTACACTGGGAACACGATACTCTCTGTTACCCGTCCTTTCCTTTTAATACATTTTTAATCAAATTCCGAAGCAAATCTTTAAAAAACTTCACTATTCATCAGCCTGCGTCAGAGGCTTTTGTTACCAGGACCCAGAGGCCAACCTCACCGTCTCTAGGCACACGTATCTTATCCACACTAAACAATGGCTGCGAGAAAGCCCTTGAGGAAAATAGTGAGCCGAATAGGTCTTTATTGGTTTCTCTGATCACATACAGTAAATAAATACCGCCTTAAACCAATGCAGTCCTCAGGGAGCTCATTTGTTGCGTAAATTACACAACTGCTCATCCATTCGTAACAGAAATCGCACAGCGCTTCATCCAGGTATCACAACCTTTCAAACGGAGCTATGATGTTTTTATTCATTTTTCCTCTCCTCCTATTGTCTGACTAGTTTAAAGTGTGAATGATTTCTTCCACTTCTGGTAATTAAACGTGAGGGCTCACCTAGGAGACTCACTACCTCCAGTACACACCAGAGACACATTATCTTCGTGCATGCATCAACACACATACAGTTACGCACAGAACACACAAACACGTTTTATGTGCACATGCGCTCACACTACAGACACTTACAACAATGTTCACTGTCATGCAAAAATTATAAAAGCTCACAACTGCTGCCCCTGGGTCTGTTCTCACACAGACACGCAGGCAAGAGCAGGGTTTTTCACAGAGGAGCGGGCTTTTGTGTCAATGAACAAAGGGAATCTCCTTCCACCTCTGTTCCCATCTCCCCTAAATCCTATCATGTACCACCATTCGTCTCCCACACGCCTGTTTCCAAGTTACCGGAAGCGTCGGCTGCCAATCTCGCTTAATTGCCTCCTGTGTAAAGTGACTGAGGCTGAGGAGCACCCGATGAGAGCGAGCTGTCCTCGCCTTTTCCTGCAGCTCACTCACTGCTACCTCACCAAAGGAGACTCCACCTGTGTGCCTTTGGGAAATTACACAGTTGTGTTGACGTAGATTGAAACTTCAGTAACCAACCTGGAGGCTCACTGTATGAAAAACAAACATCACTAAAATGCAACTAAGGGACTTTTATTTTTGAGAGGGAAAACTGCTCCGTGAGGACCTTTTTAATTTAAGCTTTAATAGACACTGAGGATGGAAAGCACATGAATATCAAATGCTCTGAATAGGAAATGTCTAATAAGAGATAACAAAGTACAGAACAGACGGTAAAACAATAACAGCAGGCAGTGTTTGTCGTAACGATAAGCAGCTTTCCACACTAACCTTGCTCAAGCATGTAGAAAAAGAAAAGCTCTTTTTCGCTCACTCCCGGTTGCAGAATTTACCACCCTGTTGCTCCTTGTTTCCTCTTCTTCCTTTGTTGCGTCTTCCTTACCAATAGATCCTCCTCATCCTCGGGATCGGGGCTGGAATTAACAGCTCATGAGGGAAGCCAGGCGGAAGAGAAAGAAAACACACCAGAGAAGAAAAGAAACACACTCTTCTCGCCCCTAAGTCCTCCTTGGCAGTGTATCCCCATCCGTCAGAGCACGGTGACTGAGTGTGTGTGAGAGAGAGAGAGAGAGAGAGAGAGAGAGAGAGAGAGAGAGATGAACCGATACTGAGTAAGTGGGCGAGTGAGAGAGGGAGGGAGGGAGGGAGGGAGGGAGAGAGAGAGCTGGTGTGTATGCACTGGAGGGTGATCCTCTATACTGTTTGAGCTCCTGTTTATCTCTGTGTCTGTCTCCTCTGCGTGCATTCCTTCCCGACAGAAGCCACAAGGTCAGTTGCTTTTACAGTAACAAGACTCTGTTTCCTCTTGAGGGAAAAGACTTCCTGTTAGTTCTCTGCTCAACTTCCCTCATGAGTGAAATCACCCTGCTTTTTATGCTTTTAAAATCGTCTCCCTGCTTTCTCTATCTGTCTCTCTCTTGCAAACACAGTCTTGCTCTCTATTACCGTCTCTCATTAATTTATTAACATCCTGGTGGCAGCTAATCTAATCTCCCTGTCTCCCAACACTGCCTGACCAGAGGTTGCTCCACTGACGAGGAATGTGCTGCAGTTTTATTTTGGATAAACACTGTACAAACATGCAAACAAACAAACAAAGGTGGTCATTCGCATATTCACGAGCCACAGCAGCAATTTGCATGTGTAAGGAATACAAACACACGTTAAGCTGCTACACTGTGCGAAAAAGAACCTGCATGGCTTGCACACCGCGAGCATGCATCATCTGATACTGTTAATGGAAGTGGAATTAAATGGAAAAAACAGAATAGTGTTAATATCAACAGTACCATCAAAGCAATGGTGGAGACTAAGATAATTTGCTATCCTAATCTGTAGTGTAGAGCTGAAACAATTTGTTGACTTGATGTTTGTAAATGAAATATCTTTGAGTTTGGTTAGATATAACGAGCTATCCTAACATGTCATGGCGGATATTTTCCGCTATTTTTTGGTATCTTCTAACCAAAATGTTGAGTGACTTAATTGAGAAAATAATTGGCAGATTAAAACGATAATGAAAATAATTGTTGCAGCCCTATTTTAAGGCCGGAACAATTAGTTAATTGATTTGCCAAAATCAGAAAATTAGCTGAAAATGTATTGAAAAAATGTCAAAGTTTTGGTGCTTTCAACTTGTGAGGATTTGTTGCTTTTCTGTTTAACATCACTATAAATCAAAACACTTGTACTGACAGCTTATCTGACAAAACGTCACTTTGGAAGTTTTTTTGAAGCATTTTTCAGTATTTTCTATTTTCTCTTTATTAATTGATAATGAAAATCATCATTATTCATAGGTCAGAATTAAATAGAGACTCTATAAATTATTGTTAAAACTAAACTGAAATCACTGAAGTACACCAGTGGGAACTGTTGGTCTTGTAACACTTACAGGCGTAAAGACAAACCAGTATTGCCTGGTGACTTGGCCTTGCAATTGTCAGCACAGCTTGTGTGTATGGAACATGGTGTATCTGTGATACTCTGTCTTTCTTCTCTGCTCTGCCGATTCCTGATGTGACATGGCAGCCAGAGAGACTAAGTGTCTCCCCTGAGTACAGTGCATACATGGGTCAATATGTACGTAAAGTGATGCATCAATCAGGTCACACACATCAGTGAAAGGTGATTCAGGGGCCAACCTGACAGCTTCCTCAGTTATGTTGATAAAGTGTCAAAATGTCATGAATCACGCAGACAGACACACACACCACGGGCAAAGTGACAGAAATCCTCAGTCACACCACAGATGAAGTGATAGAGAATCACTTTGGTGTGAGGAAACGAGGGGTATGAACATATGGCCATGTCATCTTGACGCTGCACGTTCGCCGGCTGACCGGGCGTGCAAGAGGTGCTCCCGTGGAGCACTGTGGGAACTGTGCCGTCTCGGCCGGCGGACGGTGCTCCAGGACACATGGCCACATGCGGCAGGAGGAGGGAGCTCTGATAAGGGCCGGTTTCTGTGGAAGAGAGGATGGGCCCGACAGGGAGGCCTCAGGCAGGTTGTGTGGGGATTGGGCTGTAAGATGTTAAGCCAGGAGGAAGTATGCACAGGAGCGATATAATTTATCCTCTGAGTGTGTGTTTGTGTGTCTGCATGGGGAGCAGAAGGAAATAGCTACTCATTGCTAGTCATTTCCGATCCAGTGTAATCATCCACATGCCATCTTTTGTGCTGTTTGTGACCAACATCAAGGCGAATACACTTACCAAGTAAGAGCATCTGCCTAAATTAGTTTTTTAAATCATATTGCCTTTGGACTGCATGTGAACCAAAAACTATGAATGTGGAAATAAACATGAAACCATCACACAACCATAAAAGATAATTATATTTGTCACAGAAAAGAACTTTGATGCCAGGATTTCTGTTTTTATATGAATATCTCACCCACAGTGCCAGATAGTAAACATGACACATTTTCCTTACAACTCTTACTTATGAAATATTGAGTGGCTTGAAATGTACTCAGGAAATGAGGTCATGATAAATGAATGCAAAGCAGGGAAGCTGTGTGGATTGTTCGCTGGTGGCACAAGATAATGCCTCTGATCACTGTATATTAGACACCAAGTATCCTGATGACTTTTGTACTATAAATATGTTTTTACAGTGGCTGAACAAAGGTGGGACTCTCACCTCCAAGTGTGGACAGGAGAGTTTATCTGTGGCCATGCTGAGTTCCGGGGATGTATGCACAGCTGGGCGCATTAATAATACAAATGACTGTGAGCATTGAAGCGTTCATCACCTCTATCATACCTGTAGCTTCTTACAGATGGAATTAAAATGATCTACTCCACCTTTTTGTTTCTGTTAAATGTGCCTCCCTCCTCTGAGCGATTCAGATAGTGTGGCCTTTCCTCCTTTTTCACCGAGCTCCAGGAGATTTCTTTGAATCTTTTTAGGAGGCTCCATAAATGTAGAGGATCAGCTTACACGGTCCACCATTAAACCTGCAGGGTATTTGATACAGATGTGTCTTTCAATCTTCAAAAAATTAGATTTCGGCTTAGCTTTGTATTATATGGTCCAAGTGTAAGGAAATTACTTTTTGGAAAGGCTTGTCTTGTATTTCTTTTCCTTTTTTACTCTCCTGAGATCCTCTCCCCCTTCTACAGCACAGGCCTCTGGAGCCAGGTTACCGTCTATTATAGTGATGGTTTTAAAATGAATTTAGCTTCTTATGCAAAATGTAGCCCAACTATGAATTAGTGTCCTGCAGCTGATGCTTTGTAGTCCCATGGCAATAAAGTGAGTGAATGTTGTTGTCATGCTTTTCTCGGGGGCCCTGCTTAAGCACACTAGATAGAGGTCAGAGGAGACATGGGGAATTGTGCAAATCCCTGCAAGTCATTGCATGTCCTCTGGTGTTTAGATGGATGCCGCTAATAGAAACTCGCATCCTGCTGCTTTCTAATGACTCAACCAATCATCAAACGCCACGTTTGGACATTTAGGTGCAGTTTTTGCTTTTGCTTTGGTTAAATTCAAAAGGTCAGAAAGGAAGAGGAAAAGGGAATTTGGCCATTTAATTCACCAAATGAGCTCTTATTTGTTACAGTTCATCGTTGTACTGAAAAAGTGGGCCTTCATGAGGGGGAGGATGGTAAGGAGGCTGGCAAGGACACCCCACCTCCGGCCTTTCATGTGATTGTCACATACTACTGCTGACACAGTCTTTACAACGGAAAAAATAAATAAATCAAACAAAACATAGCCAATCCCCTGATGGGTGGCTGTCCGCGTGCTTTCCCTCATTCAGGGAAGTGTGTCCTCCTAATTGCCTTGAAGGTAGTGTTGCTTGTTGAAAAGCTGTAAACCCCATCTTGAAATCAATGGGGTATCACTTAACATCAGCAATTACAAGATTCAATCATAAACTGCTCAGCCATCTGAAAAATATTAGGATAATCATTTTTTCCCTCCTCCAAAAACAAACAAACCCAGTGAACACACTAATATGCTGTTGAACAGGCGATAGCTTTTATGGCTTTTTTCTATTTAAATACTTGTTATTCTGAGCTGAGCAGTTCCATTTCTCACCAAAATCAATGTCTGGAGGGAATTACAAAGTTAGATTATATGCAGAATTACACACATAGAAATTAGCTTTCATTGTTGCAGAATATAACTTTAAATAGCATTTTTAGATCAAATTATTGTTGGATGGATAGGTTTTATGAGATCCCGTTGGAGTCGGGAGTAAAACCTCCGAGTCAACTTTTCCTACTTTGTGCTTTCTCGACTGTAGAAGAAGTGGAAAGGCTCTCTGACAGGTTTTGAGTCATACCTCCACTGTGTTTTGTTTTCTCTGAATCAGTCGTACATCTAATCGATGTCATCTCCTGCCGCATGTGAAGTGACAAATCGGTCCTGGCATCACACTGAAATAGCTTTGCTCTCTCGGAGTCACTCTGTCCAAACTTCCAATTTTTGCAACTGTCATCAAGTTGCCAAAGACTCAGGTCAGCCATGGTGTTACTTTTTCTGTCCGACTAGCATTTCTACTATCATCATATAACTACTTATGTTTGTGCTGTCACAACAACAAGCTCTTCTTCCATCTGAGTCTGTGTCTGCATTGTTATTTCAACTTGAATGTCATTTAAAAGTTAGATATTTTTCATTAGGGATAAAGGATACTTGATAGGACGGAAACTATTAGCTGTTTAATAGATTAAAAAAGCAACAGAAAAACAAAAAAAAGCATCTTTTAAATTGACTGATCACTAAGTAATTTATCAAGTAAAACTGACAAACATTCAGTTGTAATTGAATATCTTTGGACTATGGACTATGAATTATGGTATGTCACACAAAACAAGCTAAAATGGGTCCTTTGGCACTGTACAATTGTAATGGGTGTTTGTCCACAATTGTCAGATATTTTATACACTAAATGATTGAAGAAATAAAACAAATTATGGACTTAATTATACAGAATTGTAAATTTTTATGTAAGTAGTAACGATATTAGTTTAGTGTGATTCAGTAATTATCAGAAATTTACAGACCAGCCCCTTGATAAAGAGCCATACATTAAAAGTACAGATTTATTATACAGACCTCAAATAATTAAATGGGATAAGCTGCCTATAAATAGTGTATAATGTACCAGAGTTATAGAGGTGACCCAGGTTTAAAAATCTTACTGGGAGGCCAAGTGCTAAATGAGGGGATTTAATTAAAAGAGGTATATCATCAAAATGCTTAAGAACTTAAATAACCCAAATTACTTTGTCCTCAAAACCAACTTCTT